CACCCCCCCCCCCCCCCGGAGTAATCCTTCAATTTTGCTAATTAAGATTCTTATTTTTTTCCGACCACTCAGTAGTGTTCACTTGCTCCAAAGTAATCAACGCTTTCAAGCGATAGAATTCGCCGACCGGCACGTTTCGGAAAAGCTCTAAATTAATCTTTCCTACGTTTTCTTCGCAAAACATGCGCGGCTTCGATCACGCAAAGATTCTTAGTCTCAGTTTCCACGGTCTCCGCAAGGAACGCCTGTCACAATGACCAACCTTTTGCGTCCCAAAAATTCCGGGGGGGGTACTTCCAGAAAAATTGGGAGGGGGTGTGCGGCACGCTTCTTGAAACCCTTACCCTCTTTCGGACCAAAATCTGTGAATTCCCCCACCCTTTTTCAGACTTGACCAAAAATTTGATACCCTATTTCAGACCTGAAGCCCTGGAGCCCGGCGCGTGACAGGAGCGCGTGGCATGCTGTTACGGCACGTACACAGTAGTTGGCGTAAAAATTAAAAGAGAAATGGTCTTATCGCCAAATGATGAAGAGGTCGCTAATTCTTCTAAAAAACATACCCTAATTCAGACCAAAATGGTCGAAATTGATACCCTATTTCAGACCAAAACAGCTAAAAAAAACATACCCTTTGGCGCGGCACATACCTATATAGCCTATATAAGGGACTACCCCCCGGGGCGAAAAACGCGTTGCAGATTATGAGTCTCGCTGCTTACGCGGCCTAGACTAAAAATGAATTAGTAGAACGTTTCCACTTACGTGGCCAGGATCTATGCTAATTATTAGAACAGAAGATAGTGTTTACATAAGAAAAGAGTTCATCTCTTGGTATACCAACATGGCTGCCGTTTCATTATTTTAGAACATCAATATGGCCGCCGTGATGATAATAATAATAATAATAATAATAATAATAATAATAACTTTAATAGTAACATCCTCGTGAGGTTTTTCAGGAACTATTTACAAACGATTTACAATTTATAAAAGCAAAAATGACAATAAAAACTCGAAATCACAATTTATGNACATGCGCGGCTTCGATCACGCAAAGATTCTTAGTCTCAGTTTCCACGGTCTCCGCAAGGAACGCCTGTCACAATGACCAACCTTTTGCGTCCCAAAAATTCCGGGGGGGGTACTTCCAGAAAAATTGGGAGGGGGTGTGCGGCACGCTTCTTGAAACCCTTACCCTCTTTCGGACCAAAATCTGTGAATTCCCCCACCCTTTTTCAGACTTGACCAAAAATTTGATACCCTATTTCAGACCTGAAGCCCTGGAGCCCGGCGCGTGACAGGAGCGCGTGGCATGCTGTTACGGCACGTACACAGTAGTTGGCGTAAAAATTAAAAGAGAAATGGTCTTATCGCCAAATGATGAAGAGGTCGCTAATTCTTCTAAAAAACATACCCTAATTCAGACCAAAATGGTCGAAATTGATACCCTATTTCAGACCAAAACAGCTAAAAAAAACATACCCTTTGGCGCGGCACATACCTATATAGCCTATATAAGGGACTACCCCCCGGGGCGAAAAACGCGTTGCAGATTATGAGTCTCGCTGCTTACGCGGCCTAGACTAAAAATGAATTAGTAGAACGTTTCCACTTACGTGGCCAGGATCTATGCTAATTATTAGAACAGAAGATAGTGTTTACATAAGAAAAGAGTTCATCTCTTGGTATACCAACATGGCTGCCGTTTCATTATTTTAGAACATCAATATGGCCGCCGTGATGATAATAATAATAATAATAATAATAATAATAATAATAACTTTAATAGTAACATCCTCGTGAGGTTTTTCAGGAACTATTTACAAACGATTTACAATTTATAAAAGCAAAAATGACAATAAAAACTCGAAATCACAATTTATGATGGTATTCTACTAAAATCTAGAGCTTATGAAGGAAATGTCTGCCTCAATAGTGTGTCTTTCAGGGCGCGCTTGAAAGATGACAATGAGGCACTTTGCCTGAGTTCATTATGCAAGTTATTCCATGTGTAGGCCCCTCTGTAGGAAAATGTGCGCTCGCCTATAGCCGTTCTGTATAGCGGAATCTGCAAAGAGTTCCGTGTACGAGTGTTACGAGTATGTATATTTGAGCGCTTGGTAAACTTGCTCATTAAGTATTGAGGCACAAGATCGTTCTGACATTTAAAGGTCAAAACGGAGTCTCTATAGAATAATTGTTCTTTAACAGGAAGCCAATTTAGCTCTCGAAGCAAAGGTGTTACGTGGTCAAACTTCCTAGAGTTTGTTACGATCTTGCTGTCCAAATTCTGAATAGATTGTAATCTGTTTATATTCTGGAGTGTAGTATTTGACCATACAGATGAGCAGTAAAGCATCTTACTAAAGACTAATGACGTTATTAACAACTCTAGTGTTTCCTTGTCGAAGCTCCTTTTGACTCTATTTATTTGGCAAAGCTTTGCGAAACAAGATGACACTACACATGAAATATGGTGATCGTAGGTCAGATGGGGGTCAAGAAAGACTCCCAAGTCCTTGGCAGAGTCTGTTGGCTTCAATGTTTTACCTAAGAATACCACTCTAGGGTCTTCTGGTAACCTGCTTAACATCTGTCTGGTACCGAGGAAAAGGAGTTTAGTTTTATCGGGATTGATAACTAGATGGTTCTCACAGCACCATTGAGCTACACTGTGAAGGTCTTGTTCAAGCTTTTCAATGGCAGCATCAAGCTCAACGATAGGAAATGACATGAATAGCTTTGAGTCATCCACATACGATTCTAGGTTGCAAAAAGTCGGTGCCGTGGGTAAATCGTTGAGATAAATGCAAAACAACAATGGTGATAGGATTGCGCCTTGAGGAACTCCGTGAGTTATAGGTAGAGTGTCAGAGTAGGCGGAGCCAATTTATCACGTATTGCCTGCGGCCAGTTAGATAACTGTTGAACCATTTGACAGTAGAGGGTGAGGCTCCTAAGATGGAGAGTTTGTGGAGCAACCTTGCATGGTCTTTACTGTCGAAGGCTTTGGATAGATCTAATAGTACTAGTGCTGTTATCTGCTTTTTATTCATTGCTTCGAGTATCTTATCCGTGAGCAGGATGTTTAAGGTCTCTGTAGAGTGAGCTTTTTTATTGCCGCTTTGGTGTGAGGTAAGGCGGTTGTTTTTTTGTGAGATAGGCGCTGAACTGATTCAAAACAATCCTTTCGAGGACCTTTGAAGCTACGGCTAGCAGAGATAACGGTCGGTTGTTGGCAGCTTTTTCATGGTCACCGTCTTTAAGAATCGGAATCACCTCAGCCTCTTTCCAGTTGTCAGGAAATGTGCTAGTAAGGATAGAACAACTGATGATGTCACTAAGAGGGCCCAATATAACAGGGAGACAGTCTTTTAGTACACGTACGAGCCCTGATCTTGTCCGGTCCCGGAGATTTATTCAGTGGGAGAGATGTTACAATTCGGCGAACCTCTTCACGTGACACTGTCCTTAAATGGAATAGTTCCATAGAGGTAGTATCTATGCCAGTTTCGGATGAAAAATCGCGGACTATGTTGTTATGTTCTTCCCTCAGGCGCTGTACTGCGTCAGCGGCATTTAAGCCGACTTTAGCAAAAAACTGATTGAATTCGTTTGTTAAGACTGTCACATCCTTTGTAAAGGCTGGTCTCTGCCTATCTTTGGAGGGGATGGCGCGATTAATAATTTTCCAGAGTGAGCCAGAGTTGTTTTTATTAGCTGTGACCTCTTCAAAGGTGTGATCTCTTTCAGCTTCTTGTAGCTTTTTCTTGACCAAGTCACGGGAATGTTTGAAATTTATCCACTGGGTGTCTTGGCGAGACTGTATGAATTGCTTCAGGAGGAGATCTCGCGATCTCATGAGATCCTTGATTTCCTGATTCACAAAAGGGCACGGTCTACTCCGAAATTTAATTTGTTTCACGGGAGCGTGTAAGCTCAGGACAGACTGCAAAGTGTCATTTAAAATATTAAGCTTAGAGTCTACATCGGTTTGGTCGAAGATAGAGAGCAGGGAATCCGCTTCCTTAGCTAGATCCGTGACAAAGAGATCCGCATTATGCTTCTTGTAACTTCGAGTGGTGATGTCAGTGTGAAAACGCTCTGTAGAGCTCAGTTTGTTCAGCCAGCCAAAACATGGATACGTAATCGACAGTTGTGCCACAAAAAAAGAGGGAATGAAAAAAAAATTAGAATAACGAAACGGAAGGTTTAAAAAATACATAAATAATTAAATAAATAAGTCAAAGCTACAATTAACAGAGGACAAGTAGCCCTTGAGTACCAATATGTATTCAAAGTCTTTCTCACAGGAGTGTTGAGATTTGAAGTCGCTTACGCATATGGTATGTTTCTTAAGCATGACGAACAATCTTACGAGTTACGTATAGCAAAAATCAAAAGAAACCCGTTTCTATTGGCCAGGCAAAGGGGCTTTTAACAGTTGTATCGGAACAAAAAACGACAAGGAAGCCTTTTCCTTCTTTCTTTTTAAAGTCACGACTTCTAAACACAAAAATCATAATGCCTACAGGGGGGGATCTAGGGGGAGGGTGCAGGGGGGGCGCACCCCCCCCCCCACCCCTCTGAGATGACCTGCGGTTTTCTAATACAACTAGTATTCTGCAAAAAAAAAAACTATGTGGTTTATTGGTTTTGAAGTAGAGCAAGAGGCGAGTGCACCCCCTCCTAAAAAAAATCCTGGATCCCCCCCTGGCCTAAAGGCAGTACAGTGCAGGTATGTCCTTAACGAAACCCCGATAACAAACAAACTCATAGTTCTCTGGAATGCCATTTCAAAGTTGATACTCTTTTACAGCAACTCCATTGATAAGAACCTAACTTAAAATTTTAGCCTTAATAGGTTCTTATGTGGAGGGGGCTTAAAATGAAAATTTTAACCTAACAGGCTCTTAAAACCCAGGTTCTTATAAGCGGGGTTTTACTGTATTTTACTTTACGTCGAGGCTAAACCGCCGATGTGATATGTATTGTAGAGTACCGTAAAATTCCGAAAATGAGCCCCCGGGGGCTTATATTTTTCAAAGGCCCTTTTTGAGGGGCTTATTTTTGGAGGGGCTTAACTACGGAGGGAAATTTGCATTTCAAAATCGATTGGGCTAGCCTTATAAATGGAAGGAAATTTACCGCTTTTTCTTTGTTTTACTTTGTATTTGAGGGCAATTTCCGAGTACAAGCCCCCGGGGGGGCTTATAGTTGGAGGGGCGATTTAACGAACGGTTTTTTGCTTTACCAGTTTGGAGGGCTTATTTTCGGAATTTTACGGTAACTGTTGATCGGCCTGTCCCACGGCTGATGCATGCTCACCGTGACGTTGTGAGATGTATTGGAAACCTGTTTAACCTCATAAAACATTTATACGCCTGGCGCAACACCAATGTTTATGACTTCGCCTGGGAGTAAAGGCTAATCACATTTTTAAATTTTCTCTTTGATACTCTTTTACGAAAGTCATCTTTAAAAGCGTCACAGATTTATAGGCTAGCTGTGATGTGTTGTTGCCACGTTTCAAAAATATATTTTTATTTGTTTTATTAGATAGCAGTTTGCATGGTAAATGCAGGCCGATTTTTTCGCTATGTGTTCTGTTTGTTTACTTTGGTATGTTATCTTTTCTGTGGGCCAACATGTCTGTTTTCCATAAAAATTGGAGATGAAGTTTTCAAGTGTTTCAAAAGTTGCAGAATGGCGGTATTATGTGTTAAGAGCTCGATCTCACCTTTCTAATCGTTTCCTTTGAACACCTGAGGGTGAGATTGGTGTCCATGGAAACCAAACATTTTCTCCAGAAACGTAAATAATTTATCCAAAATTGAATAAAATTCATCTCATCAGAACACATTTAATTTATGGTTAAGGTTCAGCCGTAGATTACTACATCTTATACTTGTCAGTAAAATTTAGTGGGACGTTTTTGCCGTTCTTTTTTGGCCTCCAAATTTATACAAATGCCGCTAATATATTACACAGTTACGGTTTTTGTGGCAATTCTTTCACTCCATTAAGTCTAGTCTTTTGTAGATTAGATTATCCGTGGCGTTTCGCCCAAGGTTTTTCTCATCAGACAGCACGATATTTCGCTGACTTTGTAAGCACTCCTATTTTCTCAAGTATTGATCGTTTGGCTGTCACTTCCATAAACTTTTGAAGGGTATAGTTTATATTTATTTAAACTGCCTTACAATGCAATTCGTAAATTAAACCCATCACTTAAAGCTCTTGGTGGATTTTCATATTAAAATTCATGTTGTAGTTTTTCATTTGCTAATAATTATCACATCGAAAATTAGAAGAGGAATGTTTTTCTTACCTTGGGGCGAGTTTTCAACATTGAAAGCGGAGAAAAACAACTTTAAAAGTTAACAGGACAAGTACGTTTTTTGAAGTTGATTTCTATGGAACTTCACGGGATAAGGTTGTTTTTGGTATTAATTCTGCAAGAAATCCATTCGTTGACAGTATCAACAGCTACCGAAAATGTAACTGTGGAAATTGCAATATTTTATAATTCCTCAAGTCGCTACATGAACAGTGTTCTTCAAAATGCAAATGATATGTTTCTTGCCAGTCGTCAAGAGCTTAAAAGAACACCAAAGAAAACTTCTAACGTGGAAATTAATATCCAGTGGCTGGATGAGATCGAAGTAGCCGGCAGCTACACAAGTTACAATAATTCGTTCCTCGACAGGTGGAGTAATTCATTGCAAGTTCAAGGTGCAATTTTTGTGGATGTTAACAGCAAGTCTTTGTTCCTCTCTTCTCTCTTGGAGTCATCGGCCATCCCAACAGTGGGCATCTTTCAAACCAGGGAACAGCCGAGAACTCAGGTATAATGTAATAAAATTACAGTTAATAGTATATACTCATAACTTTTGTTTCCGTACTTTGTAAAAGTGCGAGGCAAACTCGAACGTCAGCCTTTTAATGCCGTAAAGGACAAGGATTTTACATAACAATCTTTACTCTATGTTGCCTCTCTCGACGTACTGTCGGTGTTTGTTTGACGATTTCGAACAAGCAATCGGTAATCGACAACTGAATTAACAAATGATATATGCTTGTTTGATAAGAGAATGTGAAGATTAGCAAGGAAATGTCGATGATTTTAGGGAGTTTAACTTACAACAGCCTACTTTCGCTAGGAATTTTATTTTCTACGAGGAATGTTGAAGAATTAAAGATGGTTGATCCATCAGCAGTAGCTATTAAAGAAAACTCCAGGATGCAAGTCGACGATATCCCGGCGAGCTATTAAGTTCAAAATATTATCCAAAAATAATTAATTTTTCTCGTGGATGAATTTTTACGATCAAAACAAGAATACAAAATTTAAACCAGAACAAAAAGATGCTAAACTGAATAGGCACGTGAAAAACTTGAGAGACTGATCTTGAAAAAACGATTGTCGTACGAGCTCAATCAGGATGAATCCTCTCATTATTATTGTGTTTACTGTTGTCTTGATTCTAGTCCACCAGCTTAATGCGTGGTCTGTACTCGTTTAACAGAACAAGGAATGTAAGGATCATAATGATAAATGCATTTATGATTACATTCTTTATTCATCCAACAAAAAGGGTCCGTCGTTTTCAACTGAATGTGTTTGAAAGCCAAAAATTGCATGACATTTTACGTATATAGCAGTTAAGACACTTTTATTTTCAAATGAGTCAGCACAGGCGGCCTAAACTCTGTGGGAGTTCGTTGGACTTGAGTCAGTTTCAGCCGGTACAAGCTAAAAACAAACTTCATTCAAATTCTCTTGTCAAACTGAATTCATAATTGTGATAACTGGTATGTTAGAAGGTTAAGTATTCCCTCAAAATGAAAAGTATTTGAAGATGTCAGGGGCACCCAACGGCAATTTTCGGGAAAATATCTGTTCGGAAGACGATTTGAGAACTAGAATTTTCGGAACATTTGTTGTAAAATTTCTTGCTTGCCTGCCTCTCCTAGGATTTTCGAACATCTACAAAATGGTATAATTACCCATTTTAAACGGATATTTACCCCAAAAAAGGCCACCTAGAATTTTCGGGAGCCTTTTCCTGGCTGAAATTTTCGAAAAGGTAAGTTTTGATCCCTATAATTTTCGGATCACTAGATTTTCAGCTAGGAAATCCGAACAGATGAAAAGTTTTTAGGGGATAAAAATATGCCTATATCTACCGTTTAAATACTAAAATACGTTCAACAATGCTATGTTAAGTGGTTTTGAACTATATCCTCGTTGGGTGCCCCTGAGATGTGTTCGTAACAACACAAAAACCAAGTTATTTCGAAAATTTTGGTTTTTATACCATTTTGAAAAGATCAATAAATGTTAAAAAGCTGTCATGAATTACAATGTGGTGCTAGAGGTATGGGTTATATTGTTGCAGCATCTCTAATTTGAAGTGGTTGTCCCGAATTTTCTCAGGTTAGCGAACGAAAGAAAAAAGTTCCCCGTTTTTTTTTTGTCGGGAATATTTTCCCTATTTTTTCTTCACGATAACTTTATTGAAATACTAAAATTTTGAACTCCAATTCGTCTACCTCGGATACTTTTAAAAATCTAACACTACAATTTTTGTTACACATTTTCCGGAACCAAAGGTGTCTGAATTTCAATATTCTTTGTCAGTTCCGACTTGCAGGGATTTTTCTTCACTTCGAGGTTATCTATTTTCCTCAACTCCATCCACCAAACAAATAAACAAACAAAAATACACTCGTCAAACTTCATCGTAATGATTAATCTAAATCGGAACTACTGTTCTTAAAGGTTTTGTCATGAAGCTTTAACGCCTATATCAAGGGCCTCATCACTGGGATCTGACCGCAATGAAGCCTCTAGCAAAATTAAGGACAAAAAACTTATTAAATAGCAGAACTGCATGGGCTCTTCTGATCTTACGCCCTGTTAAAAAGTCTTCTTATGAACTAGCTAGGTAGATTAATTATGATTCAAAAAACGGTTTTTAGATTAACATTTCAAGGTGCCAAAGTGATGTTAATCGATTTTACTGTTCCTGGTCAACAGGTGTAGGGTTTGATAAAAAAGAACCAAACGTTTTGACATGTAATTAAAACTTTTAACTCTTCAGGCATTGTCTATTCAATGTATATGTGTATTAGGAATATAAGATAATGCCTGAGGTCCGAACCTTTCTTAAAAATATTCAGACGGAGCGTGTAGCGCGAGGTTATTATTTTTCTAAGGCCTAGTCGTCACAAATTCGGATATTTTTTAACAAAAAAGACCAAAAAAAACGGCGATTTTCCCCTTCTTTTTCAAAAAAGTACGCATCAACACGTAGCGTATTTAAATCATTTGCCCGTCCACACAAAAACGCATAAACGACGCAAAAAGAGTAGCGTCCCTTACAGCGTACCCTTTACGATGTGTAATATCATCGTATTCCGTTTTCGTTTGTCCACACAAAAACGACAATCCGGTTAAAACGGAGTAAAAGATCTGCGTTATCAAAAAAATACAGATACGCGAGGACGGGGCAAGAAAGCCGAGGAGCGAGGGCATTATCTCACTTTATCATGTACCTCAGATTGCATATTGTTTTAGAACCTACGTGTCAATATTGTGTCAATTTAAGAAAAGGACCTCCTGTTCTACTTCAGTGACCTTTTATTCTGTTACTGAGAATAATTTATTGATCAAGATGGGGCATTTATTTAAGGCAATGGCGAATTTGGTGACATTTCGCCAAACCTTTTTGATGATAGAGCGAATATGAAGAAAATCAACTTTCCAATGCAAATAAATTGGCCAGAGGTTAGGCCAGAGGGCCTTACAAAAGTCAGTGGCCAATATGGCGAAATTTGTCGAGTATATGTCGAATTATTTGACTAAAATGACAAAGTCTTTGGTGAAAATCAAAGGAACAATTCAACGGTGTTGATGAGACCGGCCCTACAAGGGTGGTGAACAATGTGGATTTTTGGCAAAAATGCCCATTAAAGTTTAACTAAACATTTGACGTATTTTTGAAAAGTGGCGAATTTGGAAAAAATGAAAAATGGGAATGAAATTTCCTCAATTTCTTCCCTAGCTTCGCAAAAATAGCGAACTACTGTACTGACATTTTATAACCGGACTAGGTTTTTTCGTCAATCACGCACGCATTCTTCATGTCTGTCACCTGTAATTTCTTTTTCGTTTTCAGGAAAGTTCGGCCTATTTCAGTCGCGTGGCCTTGCCATCAATGAAACATTATGCACAAGTAATCTGGGACGTCATGAAAAAGACAGGACGGCGCAGTCTAAGCTTAGTGTTAACTGCTGACACAGACGGCAAAGAACTTGAGGATTCGATGACTGAAATAGTTCAGCGCGAGAAATGGACTATCAAAGATACGCTTTGGCTTGTCCAAAACAAACATGTAGGCTTACAGGTTAAATTGGAGTCCCTTATTTCAAAGCAGGCTGACGTCGTTGTTGTACATAGCAGAGATACAGAAAATGATCTTTTATTTCAAGTGATACAGTCTTTTAACATTAGTAAGTGGGGAAGTCTCTGGATTTTGACCGATATAACAGAGTATGGAGTACAAGACATCAATGAGATTCCAGTTGGTTCTCTTAGAATAAGCTCTAAACGATGCGAACCACATCTGGATTTTAGTCTTTACTCAAAAGCTATCAACGATGCCCTCTTTCTTTATCAAGCCGCCTACGAAAAGGCTTTTGGACGAGCCAGACGTTTTGAAAGTGATTGTCTGCTTGGAGAAAGCTGCGGAACACCAGAGATTCAAGATTTAGCAAATTTGTAAGTGCCGATTGTTAATTTATTTTTCTGCTAATTATGGCAAGGTGTTAAGGATTCGAAACAAGGAATCTAACCAGTTCTTCAGGCAAATAATAGCTGGCTTTGAGATGTTTTGAATAATTAATATGTTCTTGGAAGGAAAGTGTTTCTGGGTAATGGAAGTAGACAATTCAGGGTGTCTGAGGGGATTTGCTTTCTAGAATAGTTGGTATATGCCATTTGTCAGAAACTTGTTCCCCCCCCCCCCCCCCCCCCCCCCGGGGTTATTTTGCCCCCTCAGCCCCCCCCAATCCTCCTCCCCCCCCCCCTCCCCCCCCCCCCCCCCCCCCCCCGCCCCCACTCACGCCGACCCCCCCCCCAGCCCCCCCCCCCAACACACCCGCGTCCCCTCCGTCTCCCCCGTCAAAAACAAAGCACCAACAAGCAATCCATTAGAAATAAAAGTGTGTTTTGTGATAGTTTGAAAATTTAATATTTTTTTGGAAGGAAAGGTTTTTTGGGAAATGGAAGGAATAAATTTGGGGGGGTTGGGGGGTTTTTTTTTTTAGAATAGTTGGTTATTGCCTTTTTTCGAAAACTTTTCCCCCCCCCCCCCCCCCGCCCACTGAAGGTGTGAATTTCGCCCTTAGGCCACACCTAATATCCTATCCACCCCCTTATCCACCCCCCTCTCCCCCACTGAAGGGCTGAATTTTGCCCAATGACCACACACCCAAACTGGCTAGTTAAGTCTGGAGATACGTCTGCTGGCAAACTTCCCAGTAAGTCAGGTTGCAGGTTGTAGGTGCACCGTTCTGGCTGGGAACTCTTCCATCAGTCTTGCTAGGAGTGAGGAACAGATAAATTTTTCCCAGCAGTTTCCCAAAATGCTTACAAATGGCTTCGGGAAAAAATATGATAAACTTTAGTTTTTAAAAAGAGGGTAATTTTTTTTCTGGCACGAAGGCGTATTGTTTCAGGGCTACAATCTATCGTTTCTGTTGTTTGTTCACCCGATCTGTTGGCTATTCCGAGGGCTCCCATGCATCTCTTTCATGTCTCCTTTGACCGCTGTTTATTCTCGCCGATGGTTTGTCCCCCTTCTATACCTTCAGTTTCAGTTTATTTATTTACCAGAAAAAAAAAAAAGCATAAAAATCAACAGGTATTATTTAAAAGTGGTGAATCAGCTAAGGTTCTATGTCAATGTCCCCTGGAGTTATTGCCTTTTGGGAATGTCCTCCTTAATCCAGCCCTCAATATCTGGCGTTGCTGTCTCATTATCTGGGCTATAATGGAAACTTTCCAAGGTGTTCCTGTTCATTGTGTGGCCTTTCTGAGTTATTTGAGCTGTGATGGCATTAACAAATAAAGACCATGAAGTGTATGGAACAATGTAAAGAAACTCCTACAATTTTTTTTTATTTTTAACCGATCTTACGGGCAGTAAGTTAAACTGTTTACAGGGCAGCGAATTTTTAGAAGTGTAAGACGTCTTGCTAACCGTTTCTTTTCCTGTTTTATGGCAAACAAGATATCTCAAGGAGTCTTTCGTTGAAGGTAAGAGCTCGTTATTTGCGAAACCTTCCCTATACGAGACTTCTCAGACAACATTTAAAGTATGGAATCTACGAAAGAGTGGGATCAATGCCAATAAATGGGTTCTTGTGGGACAAAGGACACCGACGGGACTTGCTTTGGAAAATCTTATGGCCCCTAACGGAAGCACACTGACAGTCTCCTCTGTCCCAGAACCCTACGTTATGCGAGTCCCTGTTAATTTGTACTCTCCTTGGGTTCAAGTAGAAGACCCTCGATTCGATGGCAATGGGATGTTGTATTGCATTGGAAGAGGACAGCTTTGCTACAGGTTTAAAAATTCAAGCCGCATCATCGAAAAAACGTTTTGTTGTTATGGAGCCTCCATCGATTTACTTGTAATGATCCAGAGTGAGCTTGGATTTCGCAGCGAGATTTACTTTACTCCAGATGGAAATTATGGTGACTTTGACGCGGATACAAAAAAGTGGAACGGAATAGTCCAGGAAGTGATTTCTGGGAGGGCGGATTTCGCAATTGATTTATCGGTGAATGAACTCAGAGAAAGCTATCTTGACTTCGCTCATCCCTTCGTTCATTTGGCTTTAAATATTTTGGTCTTAAAGGATGACCAAATTAGTTACGGTAAGACATAACTGTCTTTTTTAGGGCGCTTTCTATCTTGTCAAAACTGGGCGGCCAGACTGATACGGTTGTTAAGAGAATTTCACTTTTAATGAGTACTATTCAGCCAGATCAGTTTGTGCATGCATGACATGCACGGAAATGATAGGTTTAAGAGAAAATCTCGAGAAAAAGACTACTCTTTCATTTTGAAAGTGACCGGTTCTGTTGGCTAGTTCTGGCTTTTGAAAAGCGCCCTTTGATACAATAATAATATTCTTCTTAAATACCTTTATTGCATTCATTTTATAGGCATCCCACTGATGAACGGTTGCTACTAACAGTTAAAAGATATTTGCAGTAGTAACAATCGACTATAGACTGTCCGTTTTCAATTAACAGTATCCTTCCAAATTGAAGAACTCGATATTGTCTGATAGTAGCGACGTAAGCAACGTGTATTCTTGGTAACCTATCTAAGGGCGAAAGAAATAGGCAGAATGGCCAGACCCATAATCTGATGTTTTTTACTTCAATAGATTTGCAGTTAGGCTATTGGCTTCATTTAACCTAAAATGTGATAATGCAACATCGACTAGGAAAAAAGGGAATTGGCTCAAGCTACACGTACTCTTTTCCACTGTTTTTCAGTACAAGTCTTATTAGCTAGCATAGCTTTTGATATGCTTAAACCCTTTATAACTGATATTATGAGCGTGCTTTTTGTTGGGCAGAAATCCAGTGGAGCTCTTGGCTGGAACCGTTTCAATATCAACTGTGGTTTTCCATCGTTGGATTCATCAATTTTATTTTATTGGTAATCTGGTGGATCGACTGGAAAAGTCCTTACGGACACTTCAGAAAGCTGAATGGTGGAGATGAAGGCTTTACGCTGTTAGGTAATTGATATTAGTTGGTGTAGTCAGACGAAATCTCAGACTAATTTTGCATCAAATTATCTTTGTCTCATTTGTTAGTTTGTATGTCTTTCACTTATTTAAGAGGTCATATATTTTCGCTTATGTCCAGAAAGGCGAGAAAACTTCGGAACTTAGGAACGTCATATTACACAAAACTATTTCCAACTTCCACATGACCCCATTTAGACGGAATTGCTTGCGTTAAGGTGAGAATTGGGCGTAGGGGGCACTTCGTGATGTCTATCATAAGACGGATGAATCTCATTAACTTGGAGTCCTAGAAATATCTGTAGTTTTTACAGGTTTCAAGAAGAGGCTACCGTGTATCGTGATGAAAGAAGAAGAGCAGCGAAGAAACGTTAATTAATTTAGTCTTACCACTAGAAAGCCGATATTCAGGGGCACCCAAGTCAATTTTCGGAAAAATATCTGTTCGGAAGACGATTTGAGATCTATAATTTTGGGAACATTTATTGATAAATTTCTTGCTCGCCTGCCTCTCCTAGGATTTTTTGAACATCTAAAGAATGGTATAATTACCCATTTTTAACGGATGTTTACCCTAAAAAGGTCACCTAGAATTTTCGGGAGCCTTTTTTTCTGGCTGAAATTTTCGAAAAGGTAAGTTTTGATCCCTATAATTTTCGGATCACCAGACTTTCAGCTAGGAAATCCGAACAGATGAAAGATTTTTAGGGGATAAAAATATGTCTATATCTACCGTTTGAATATTAAAATACGTTTAACAGTGCTATGTTTAAGTGGTTTTGAACTATATTCTCGTTGGGTGCCCGTAGATATTTACTTGTCACTGTAAGCTACTATTTACCCACACTTCGATGAACTTCAAAATATTCAAACATGTACCTTGCTCATAAATTGATGGGCAAATGGACTTATGGATAGATCGCCCATCGTATGTTAGGGAATTCATGGGTTCTTTCTTTGTCGCTTATTGCATATCTTTATTCAAAATTCTTATGATTCCAAGATCGTGCAAAATCCCAAGAATCCCTCGAGTGTTTTAGATTATCAGTGAAAATTCCATTTTTTTCAGAATACTAAGCAAGCGAGTCTTTTTCTGTTCCAGATTCTATGACTTATGTCTGGGGAGTTGCATTTGGCAAGGACATCGGAGCTGAGAAGACACCTCATAGCAGCAGTGCACGATGTGTCTCCACATTTTATGCTTTCTTCGCTCTGATCGTCGCCAATACGTACTGTGCAAACTTGATGGCGTTTCTTGTTCAAGAAACCTTCGAGCTGCCTATAAGTGGAATAAGGGACTCAAAGGTCACTGAATTAAACGTTGTAGTAGTGATATGAATGATACTCTCTCAATATTCTAGCCTCGAGAAACTCTGTACTACGGGGTTAGTCTCCATCTGTCTATGTTCACCAGTTCCAGGCAAAAGACAACCTATATTAATAATTCTGTACATTATTAAGTTTTAAATGCTAGCATCTTTCCACCAGCACAATATGTGAAAATTTTACTTCAGGTGGAGACTACCCCTGTAGAAACTTGTCCGTGGTGTTTGAACTGTACATAATTTCAGATAAAGGAGTGTGAAACCGACTCGAGGATAGCATAAGTAGATTCCAATTTTTTCAACTCGTAAAAGTCTTATAAAAGCCAGCACGTAAACACTTTGCTCTGATTTTCTTAGAAGAAATCATTAAGCTGCATCAGTACGACTACTGTTCTTTAATTTTTACTCTGCCCGTTAGAAATGAATGACGATGCATCCCAAGCAGAATTATTCTCACATAAGAGCACTTGAAGGCAGTGTAGCGCGAGCAAAGTAACCCTTGAACACCAATTTTTTTTTAGTTTATACTAAAATAATATCTTTTTCGGTCTCCATACAGACAAAAGAGGCAAAACTATCCACAACGTTAATAGCAATAATAATTTATTAATTTTCTATAGTGCCTTTTAACGTTGTTGCTAATTGACAACTAAACTTGCTTTTCTTTTTTGTCCTATTTTTGTGTTTTTGGAACTAACACAAGACACATTTTCGAAACAAAGAGCCAATTATAGCGGCTGTAAATAACCCTTGTTATTTTTGAGACCTACCCTGGCATATCTCATACTTAAGGTATGAAAAATATTGTCTTCTACTTTTGCCCTTTATGTTTTGATATCTTTTGCAGATCCGACATCCTTCCCTTCAGCCACCAAAGGGATTTAAAATTGGAATACAGCAAGATTCACAGGAGGAATCTTACTTTCAGTTCCATAGCGAAGATATATTCCGTGAAATCTACCACGTGAATTTAAAAGTAAATTTGGTCAAGAGTTTTGAAGACGGAATACAGAAACTGAAAAATAGGTTAGCAACTCTTTCCTCATATTATGCTTTATCATACTGTAACTTATCGAGCTTACTTACAAAGTGCTGTTTTATCTATTAATGCATTATAATTTTATTTACGAGAACCGGTGATTCTTGCTGAAGTCTACTCTTACTATTATGCAGAGAAATTCATGGCCTTGTTGGGGATTATCTCTCGCTCAGTCAAGTTGCAAACATGGACCTCAATTGCTCCTTTAGTCTGGCGGGGCCAAACTTCTTCAACTTTGGACTGGGACTGGCAATGCGTAAAGCATCACCATGGTTACAGGATGTCAATCAGGCTGTACTAAAGCATCAGGAAAATGGAACCATAGAAGCTATAGTTAAACGCTGGTTTATCAAAAAGAGTTGCGATATGAATCCTTTTTCTGAGCTTGGCATCATGAACTTCAGCGGTCTGTTTATGACGGTTGTTATTGTGTTGAGTTTTTGCGTGTTTGCCATTTTGGTAGAATTTCTATTAATTTTGATGTTTATGAAAGTGGGAAATCGACTGGGAAAGTTTGGGAAATTCGTCAAACGGTTTGTTTTCAACTTGAAAAAGGGAGAAGAAGATCAAGTTAATATAAAGTACTCGTTTGCCTTTAGTCAACGAAATCAAACCTGGGATGTTTCGGCCAGTAAGGAAACTTCAGAAAAAACGTTTCAAGAGCTTGGTTTCCTTAACGACGCATATGTTACTCCAGGGGAAACGAGTTTCCATAGTGCATTATTTAACACACAAACTGAACAACGATTCCATGACAACGCATATTTTGCGTCTACTAAACAATCAATGAAAGGAAAGAAATTAAGACAAAAAGAAACTGGTAATCATACGACGAACGAAAACCACGAAATGTCAAACGGAAAGGCGACGTATGAAACCTGCAAGTACGCGGATGCTTCTGACAGTAACAAGACTAAAAGTTTGAAGCAAAATGGGTTTGTTGTGACAAAGCTATAACAGCAATAAATATGATTAAATAGGAAAAAGGGTTTGACCCAGACCTTCAGATAAGTGGGTGGCCCGGTCATCTAGACCCTGAGATAAGAAGGAGCCCTGTCTAAAATAATTTTCTTTTCGGTCCTTCGGGCCTCAGCTTGGTCTAAAAATAAGTGGGGCCCGGGCCCCCCGGGCGCCTTCCCTGGATCTGCCACTGTCAGACCAGAAATGCTTACTATTTTCACAAAACCCAGGTGGAAATCTTGTGCATGAACATAAAACTATAAAATTTGACAAGGTGGGCGAACGATCCGCTACAAAGTATAAACAAATCAGCTGAAAAGACTAAAAAGGGTAGAAAAATTGCATTGGCTCAAATCACAGCCCATACTTCCTGAAACTTCCCAAGCGGAATGGCGCAAACCATTTGATTTTCCAACCGTTATTGTCTGTTTTTCCATGTTAATAGTCACACAGGTATAATTAACTAAGTAAATGTATGCGTCTAGTTACCGAGTACATTAATATTTATTAAATAAAATATTAAGAAATTGAAAGCTACGTGGACTTTGTCAATAATTAATAGCCGCTGGGAAATGAGCCCGAGTTGGCGCTAGCGCAGTAATGTATAGAGCAAAGTGTCTTATCGGGGTTTTCAAACCCGGTAAAGATCTTTGTAAATCAACTCTTATTCTCAAATAAAAATCAAGGTGAGAGTTCTAAAAGTTACGTCTGCGGCTATAATAATTTGGAAATGTGAACCTTGATCCAATCTCGTTGGAGCCGAGAGGAACTAGTAAATGATTTTAGGGAAAAAGTGTGAAAGCGACGTTTTTGTGTTGACACTTTAAAGTTTCAACAAAGAGCAAAGGCTTTCGGTAAAAAATGTTTCTTAAAACAAATTAGGATTTGGGAAAGGCGAGCACGACGTCCAGTAAGCGTTATCCCAAATGAAGTTAGTTTACACCCTCTCTGGAGGTTCAAAGTTAGGCTTCCCTATTACCCGATTTCTTTAAAAAGCTGTATTTTTGCGGGTGGCACTCCTTTCCGTCGATTGTGTATAGAGTCTCCCCGGCCCAACAGTGGGTGTACCTTGTCACAAAAAAAGCAATAATTTGCGCTGAGCGATCGCTTGGAATGATCAATAGGGCGTCCCTAGCTCCCAACATAAAAAAAAAATCACCAGCCCTCTTAAGACAACGGTTAAGTACTGTGATCGCCTCAGCTTCATCTTTCATTCAGATGCAGAGGCCACCGCGGCCGAGCAAACAAAAGAACAGGCGGATCTATAGCTCTCTCGTCAGTCTTGCTTCTCCTATTCTCGTCTGTTTGAAAAGAGACTGCTCTTGGGAATATGGAGTCCTCCTGAGCATTTGAGACACATTAGTTAATGCTCAACTTGGGGTATTTGAAAATAGAAAATTACAATCCGCAAAATTTGCCCCATCTGTGCCCGGAGTACACACTGAGCTCCACCAGTAACTCACAAGAGTTGAAACAACTTCAGAAATTGTTTATTCAAAATCTAAACCTTGACACTACCTCATGGGAACTCAGAAAAAATATCAAAGAAGCTTATCATCAATATTAAAAGGAAAAAGTTCGATCACGTTATTAACATTGTGATAATTTTTGGGATAAGCGATGTTTTTTGTATGTGTTTCCACGTTCCCATTAGATCATAACTATAAGAAGAACACAATTAAAATTATGTTCTTAGTGTCGCCGGTAGAAACTAGGTTTCAGGCCGATGCTTTGGAATATTTGAATGGTTGGAAGCTGTGACGCCACTTATAAGTTAAAAGTTTCCAATGTTATCTAAGAAAGGCAACACTGATTATGCATGTAGGAACGCCCTCTTTAAATACGTTAGTGAATACAGGCGCCGCTTAACTGATAACTAAACGGATCTTCTATCATCACATCAGTAAACAGATCTCTAAACAAAAAGCAACTCAACGGATATAACAGATATACTGATCTCTTGTCAACATATTATTTTGCTGGATTACAGGCATTAAAAAATCAGGGCGAAGTCTTTATAATTGTACATAACGCTCCTTGCTAATACCAGATAAATAAAGACAACGAGGAGATTACCGACTTGCAACTTTACAACGATTCAAGAAAACATTTCTTGCTCCATTGGCTTACTAACCCATGGGCCATATTTCGACGATTTAAAATAATCGCACAGTTTACGCTTAGCCTCTTGAAAGTTAGTCGCCATCTTTTTCGCTTCGCAGTAGGTTTCAGCGGCCATGAGTTCCTGGCGGCTTAACTTGGCGCTTATCTCTTTGAAGGATGAATACAACGCGGCCTTACAAACGCGTGAAGGAGTGGGACTGTTCTGTGTCCGTGTCATACACGCGCCTGTGCGGCCATCGGTCACTTCAGGGTAGGCATCACCAATTGACCAATTGACGCTAAGGTTATTTGTCTTTTCTGTCTCGCGCGGTGGATCATACGCTGTAACACGACCAAGCCATGGATGATTCACGTGATACGGAGATGGAAGCAGCGTGTTGAGGTCACTGTTGTGTTGCAAACGACAGCAGACAGCGCGTGAGAGATGACCATGGTCGTATAGGTAGCCTAGAGTGAGCGACGCTAAGTAAACGGGCTCAATGAAGTGGCTCAGAAGAGCACCCTGCAGTCCAAGAACATTCCAACGGCAAATCTTATCACTGCAAGACATGGTACGTAATCTGTTGCCTCGCAACAGGCCATCCCATGTTTGAATTCCATCGGAAGGGTCGATAGGAATCGTACCTTCGCCATCTTCGATCTTTGTTCTCAGGATTCCCTGTTGTTTTGTGGTGAATGTAGGGTTGTGCTGTGTTGAGTGTTCTGAAAAGTCAGTGTTCGGTTCCTCTCGGGGAGTAAACAGAGCACCGTCTCCGCAAGGCGCTGTACTTATATAAAGATGAAATGACAGCTCCTCGCGTACTACGAGCCTTGAGGAACCTTGCTTTGCAGTGAAAATGGACTCCTTCCCTTCGCAGTACTTGCCTAACTGGTTGTAGAAGAATCGAAGCAGGGATCTACGAGCTACAATTTCAGCGTGAGAATCGTTTACGGTCTTTCCTTCCATACTTAACCGCTGACCAGTAACGCAGCGATTCCCAGTTCCAAGAGAAACAACTTGGCCAGAATCATCGACACCTTGTTTCATAACAATGCACGCTACCACCTTTCTTCCAGCAAATTTATCAGCAATGGACGCTGCAATCTGAAGAAACGTGTGATGCGAAAGAGCAGCAATAAGATCGAAGTGTGTACGGACTTTACTGAGAACGCTTGCAGAGGGGTTCGTGATGTTCAATGGCGAAGCACCATCCATTCCCGTATTTGCACCCCGACCTAGCAAGCTTCTTAAAGCGATATCTGCAGCCTCGCGCCTAGCATCCTTCATGTTTCTGGCATTTGCCGCAGGGAACAGTTTGCCATTGATTTTTGCAGCAACAGCAAAAGTAGGACGCTGGCTGAGGGTTTCAAAACTTAATTCCATTTTGTTTTTTTGCACGTACTCATTTAGAGCACTAACGGGGTTTTTGTTCATTGCTGCGTAAGCGACACTGGAGAGGACATCTGGAAGATCCATTTGAGGGCCTGAAGGTGTTGGCGGGATTGAATTGTAGTTTGCAACGCCACTGGATGGCCCACTGGTAGATGCTTGTGGTGTGAGACCTAATAATCTGTTATCATTTCCTGAAGATGATAAGGAAATCTGAGTGCTTTGAGATGGAACTAAAGCTGACGGTAACTTGGGAGTAAACACGTTGCTCTTTATTCCTCCAAATTGGCCAGCCACAGGCCCCTGCTGTTCAGACAACCCAAACGCAGGTGATGACGACATGGAGATAACAGGTTTCTTTAGCGTTTGATGCCCTTTATCGTTATCTGCTTCAGGATATGGTCTCTTTCGATCAACTACAGCAGAACCTGAATCAACACCTGAACCTTGGAAAGTCAAGGAACTCACTTCTTGGCGTACCTTCCAAGTGGGAGGGTGATCGTGCATCTTGTAAATCAAACCTAGCGTCTGGAGTTTGTAAAGTGTTGGATTAATCTGTTTCTTTGTGTTCAAACCAACTTGTTTGGCCAGTTGAAGAGTATCGCACGACTTCCTTTCTCGTTTCATGTATTCAAGTACCCTCCTTTCCAAATCACCAAGTGTCGTGGGCTGCTTAGAGAGGGTGCTTAGTGGGCTCATGCTGGAGGTTGGGACTGCCTGGGGACCTTTCTTGACAAGATTCTGAAAAAGGTGTGCTGACGGAGGTGGTGGCAGATTGGCAGTACCTTGTTTTGGGAAGTGCATGGGAGAAGGCTTACGCAAATCGGTAGCAGATTGCACCTTGTGCTGTAGTGTATTCCCTCGAGATGATGAACTCGGCGGAGACTGGCCCATGGGTAAATTTGGCTGGTCCTGGCCAAATGCGGAAAACATATCCTGGTGAAATGTCACGGTTTCTTTCTGCTCGTTTTCATTTGAGTTCCACTGTTGCTGGGAATCATTTTGAGGCATTTGTCTGCTTGCACTTGAGCTATGTAATACAAGATTTTGACTGCCAAAGCGAGGCTCTGTCATGGGTGGGCGCGTTGGTCGAGGAACAGGCAAAGACATCAAAGGACGAAGTGGTGTCATCGTGGGAGATTGCTGACTTGGTCGAAGAGGAGGTGAAAATGTGGGTCTTGCAGCCATTGCAACAGGTGCTGGTTTTCTGGTGCACTGCGACATCAAGGTATTGAATAGGTGAGCTGATGGGGGTGGAGGGGGTCCTCCTGATGGTGTTGGCAGGGGCGCGGGTGGACGTGTGCACGCACCTAGTGTGGCAGATCTGCTGTGAGCCATAGCAAAAGCAGGATCAGATGAAGGAGATACACTGCTCAGCCTAACAGCACCAGAGGGTTGTGGACAAGGACCTTTATTGGATTGCAGCAGTGGATTTTGATCTAATAAAGGTTCAGCTGAGCAGTTACTTAGGCTTGGATGGTTGTCGACATCTTGCTCACAGAACATGCTGTCCTTACTTGAAGAACCTTCGTTTGAATTTTGAGAAATTTGGGTCTTGGCAGAACCACGATCACCATCTTTTTCATTTTTTACAAAGGACGGTGATGCAGACAAATAGCCTTTTTCCAGGTTTCCTGAAGTTTTCGATTGTTGGCCATCTCCATCACTCAGATTTTCTTTCGCTTCTAAGGCTCTATCCTCTTTTCTGTCCTCCATTAATTTCTCCTGTTCTTCCTCGTCATTATTGTCAGATTCATAATCAGGTACCAGTGGTGGCAGTTCAGGTATTTCTTTATCTCCCCTCTTGCTCTCTGTTGTTGACTCTCCAATTACCCACATGGGAGGCATTTTCATTTTTCTGACTATTTTCTTTGTCTCCTCCAGTTTATTGATGCACTCTATTACACTTGCTTCACATGTGTGGATGGCAACACTGTGTAGAATGTCATTGAGTGTGCAAGGGTGCGTTGACACCTGCAGGGCACCCAAGATTTGCTTTTCTAAGGATCCATTTTGCTGTGGACAGCTTTCTCCCCAATGTTTGCCTTTTGAGTGAGACTTCGAAAGGTTCTTCGTTTGATTATCAGCTGAGACACAATTGTCTTCACTGGGTGGTCTTTCTGCTGCGTCTTTAACGTCGAAGCTCACTGCTTCAGCTCCTGTGCAAAATCAAAAGAGTGCTGACTCATAATCAGAAAACAAATTCCACTAGGTGTGATGTAAAGCTGGCACACCCATTAGTCAATCAAAATTTCCTCACGCAGTCAAACCAAATCAAGTTTTTCCTTGATCGAACCAACTTTAACATACATACTTTGCATTAAATCATCTTTTTAACGAGCAAAATGTAACTTTGATTATAAAACTGACTGGTTGGAAACCTAAAGGTTTAAAAAAAAAATGAAGATGGTGACAAAGTGAAACATACACCATCTGACAGTGAGCTCAAAGTGTGTTTATCTCAACCTGTCCCAAGAGATAGGAAGTAGAAGACCACTTATGGTAATGCTATACAGTGTACACAGTGTATCTGTGGCGCTACTTTGGTAAATCTTGGTAAAGTTACCATCAGTAGAACCAATAGGCCATTTGCACTAAGAGGTCATGTGACATAGTTTTTATGAATGAGAAAGTTATATAATTTTGCCTTTGAAAAACGATTAAGGGGTCATATCTTAAACAAAATAATAGTTATTTTCTTAAAACGAGTAAGTTCGTAGCTGGTCACGTGACCAAACTGTGATTTTTAAAATTATAAATTACCTCTTTCTGCACACAAATTTTGTACTTAAACTTCAAGGAAAATGTTGAAAAGATGATGGGGTAGCATTTACAGCACATCTGAGCGTAACTATCACACGTTTAACAAGATATAAGCAAAAAGTAGCTTTGGCCGCCATGTTGGAGGGCAAGAGTATGCCCTCCAACATGGCGGCCAATACAAATCATACTACTTTGTTGAAAAATCAAAGTGCCATAAAATATCTTCCTTAAATGAGTTTCCTTTCAAATTTCGGGGGTAAGATTATTTTTATGAGCTCTGTCAATTTTTGGCATCACCTAGACTGCAACTCATTGTTTAAAGGAAGCATTGGTCACGTGACCTCTTAGTACAAGTGGCCTATCACTACCATGAAATCTAAGGGCTTGTGATGATAACCTGGGGCAGGTGCATGTAAGCCTATAGCTTAGTTTCAAATTAACACAAATATAGAACCAAATAATCCTGAATCGAATCAAATGGCTATCACTGGAAATAACCAAGAACTTGAATTATATATTTTCATTCCCCAGAAAAGTGTCCACAGTAAAAATTAACTACCCAGATATTGGCCATTTCAGAGTTGTGTCGGGAATTGGGGTGAGTTGCAAATTGAAACTAATCGATAAACTGACACAACCATGAAAAAGGTCACGTCGAGATTGGTTATTTCACCAAGTTTGGTGCCCTAAGGTCGAACAGAGATCAAGTTATGATTCTTGAAACATGGTTAAAGATCAATACAAACATCTGTAATTTTGTGACAGCGTCCCCCAAAACCGTATAAACTCTTAATTTCTTTCACGATTTCTGTGATATTCCTGAAAATGGGCAGACGTAGTGATTTTTGAGTTAGTTCCTTCTAAGTACATGTAGTAGATGCATGACGAATTTTACAGTTTAACAGAAAAACTGAAAAATATTTTAAAGAGTTTATATGGTTTTGGGGGATGCTGTCACAAAATTACAGACATTTGTAAGGATCTTTCACCATGTTTCAAGAATCATAACTTGATCCCTGTTCAACTTTAGAGCACCAAACTTGGTCAATTAACTAATCTCAACATGACATTTTATACATGTATGGGGGTGTCAGTTTATAGATTAGTTTAAATTTGAACTCGCCCCAGTTCCCTACGCCACTCCAAAATGGCCAATACATCAGGATTTCGAGGAGCTGGGTGTATGCAGTTAGTACATGTAGGTGGGGAATTTCTCTTGGTTCCATTTTTGTTTCCTATACAGGAGACACTGGGGTCATGCTTGTAGTAAATGGGGAAAATCCATGGCACCTGGCCCTTAGTGACAGCCCTGTCACCTAAATGGCATATAAAATGTCTTTGGATATTAAACAATTAAGAAGTGACATAGCAAAGATAACACATCTTGAACACATGTAAATGTCACTAAAATGGTGCTGTATGGTCAAATTTGAATTTGAAAATACACAATTCAGTAGCATCAGTAACCTTTCAAGTACGTGTACTCTCAGCCGCAGCTACAATAAAGATGTCGATCTTTTTTCCTATTTTGTTCCAACAGAATGACACATATATACTTTGTTCCAGAAAATATCAATACCCCCATCACAAAGCAAATTTTTCCTAGGAGCCCCCCCCCCCCCCCCCCCCTCTACCTTCACAGTAGGTTGACCTCACGCCGCCGAAAAAAAAAAATATGTCGTTTTTTTTCCATTTTTTTTCCCAAAAAAAAACCACCAAATCTTTTTTTCCCAAAAAAAAAAAACCCCCCCCCCACAAAAAAATTTTCCCCCGGGGCCCCCCCCCCCCCCCGCAACACATCCCTTTTTTCTATTTTTTAGATGAAAAAAAAAAGGAGCCCTACCCACCCAACCCCCCATGTAAAGGTCATTTTCATGAAGAAACATGTTTGGTTAAGATAAAACATTTACCACAAATTATATAGTTTAACTTATTTATGTCCTAAGAATGACCTAACAGATCAGTAACTAGTAATTTTCGAACTAAGGTAAAAATGAATTGAAATTAACCCCCCTCCCCCTCCTTGGAAAGTGATCTAGTCATCCATACAGCCCATCTCAGGGATTTTCTGAGCCTCTGACATCCTGATCTGAACCTCCTAAGAGACCTAGCACCCCACCCCCAAGGAATTTATAATTCCTTCCATATTGGGCGTTTTTAAAAACCATATTTTACGGAATCACACATTTCCAAGTGAAATTTATGGGTTCACATCAGTGTAAGAACCTGACAACTGAGCTATTCTTGGATCTGTGGCTTATACATGTACTTCTTGGGCTCTCTTGGTTTTACATCCATTGTAGTTTACACTACTAAGGTTCTTACACTAAGAATGAGCCAAATGGTCTCTGTTGAAGGTTACACTGAACATGTATGAGAATCTACTGTTTTCAAAATGCATTAAATAAAAGTTCTTTTTTACTGCTTTACTTACATGTACATAAGGAAAACCCAGTAAAATACAACTCCATAACATTTCATATGCCGTTTTAAGATATCATTGTACAAAGGGACATTCAAGAGATTCAAATAGTAATATCTAGTTTTAAAGCATTTTGTAGAGGAAAATTCTCACGAGATTCGAATGATCTCCTAAGAGTAAAGTGTAGTGCGTGCATTTAATAAGTTTACATAAAGTTCTACTCACGCGTTTTCCTTTTAACCAAGGACAGCTGAGAAAAGGAATTGCACACAACGGGCAAATTCCCTGAACTTTTCAAAGCCATATCCCTCTAAAAAGTTACTGAGATAAATGCATCCTTCAACTTTCAGTTCGAAACGTTTTGTGCTTATAAAGCAGAAACTCAATCTTATTCCCCGCACGAGTTTTGGTTTCGCACAACGCGACGGCCGGAAACGCAAAAGGGGGTTTCATGAATTACCGCTGTACATCGCATACGTTTACCGCAATATGGTCTTCGATAACAGCAATGATTGTGGTTCTGTAAACTGATTAAAATTGCTGCGCTTCTTTTCCTGTATCTTATGGTGTACTTTTTAAGCGGTAACTTACTACAAAAAAGCTTACCTTCATCTGATCTTTCCCCTACACAATTTTTCTCAGTTTCGGTTTCACTTTGCGCTCGAGTAAATTCCCACTTGGGAGGCATTTCACTCGTTTGTGTTAGAACTCCTTCACGTACAAGTTCAAATATGGCTACGTTCACAATAGCATTGCTCTTAATCTCCAGGCGATCCATAATTTCATGCAAGGAGAATGACCCATTTTCGCACGTAAACAGATCCAAAACCTTTTCTTTACATTTGGCCGCCATGTTTTCATCCATTACCCAGAATGCAACCTTCAATACTACCGCTGATCAGCTGAATACGCAACGCTAAGAAACACCAGTTGTCAAACAAATTTGCCGCTTTTTTTAGGTCAAAGCTTGCTGAACTGCTTCATGATTTGAAATCCTAAAGATGATTTCATTGAGCTTTTGCAAATGCAGTGTCGGAATTTTGATTAGGGGATAAGATGGGTGAGGTTCCTGTGAAAGTTGCCGTTCGGGTAAGCTTGTGACTAGGGTAAACCGTCTGGCTACTTTTTTGTAACGTTAGTAGACCCGTCTGCAGAGGATGGCAGAACTCGATGAGATTTCGCGCGTGCAAGGTCGTTTTTAGGCCCTTATTTCTTATATATTATTAAAAAACAAACTCGCGCGTGCACCTACCATACTCTGCAGACTGGTTAGTAAATTGTGCTTGCAGTTCGAAAATGACATTTGTTTTAGTTATGTTGCGAAGTATAGCAGGGGTGGATCCAGAAAATTTTGGCTAGGAAGGTCCAAGTAACCCCTCGTCGTACCAGTTGTTTGAAAGTTGGATGGTACTATCCACTGGATAAATCACTATCTAGCTTGTAGTTGTCGGAAGTATTGCATTATCTATTAGATACTCATAATAATTTACAGGCATCTTGCACATAGAGACTCATCTGTCACATTTAATCTGCGGGTCTGTTTATTAATGTGACATAAGATTTGATTGCTATACAGTGTTAGTGTGATTATGATGTATAAAGACCTTGTCATGGTGTTCAACGCCATCTTGACGAGTAGGCAAACGTGTGAGAAATTACAGTGTTTGTATGAGAATCTAATGTCAAATAATTTCCGTAAAACAACTTTTCTGAAAAAAATATCAATTGTAAACTAAAGCTACAACGAAAAGGATTGTCCTAAAAAATTCGGAGGGGGCGGGGGGGGGGGGGGGCAAACCTTATGCTAAATTTTTTTCCGAGGCGGTTTTTGAGTTTTTCCATATTTTTTTTTTTTTTTTTTTTGGTATTTTTTACAAAAAAATTTTAAAAAAATTTTTAAAAATGGTTTTTTTTTTTATGACAACTTGAAACTCTCTCA